TATAATGGATTTGAAAAGTATAAACATAGACTAGCTTCCTTGTCCAGCTGTTGTTTTTTTATGACAATGTCAGTGCATTCATTTCGGCGATGTTGGCCAACCTAATAATTTCAAATTATGATTTGTAAGCAAAGTCTAAATGAGCTTTCCTTGACAGCTAGTGATGAGCTGGGGGCTGGGAGGGGAAAAGGCTTCAGGACCAGATTGTATTTACATTCACACCTAATCTACCTAGGTATCCAGCAAACAGAGCGGTGTTGCCCAAGTGATAGATTTTGGCTGGGCTTGGGTTACAAATCACTTGAATGGGAGGGGGGGGGATGAAATGTTGTTGTTCTTATTGTCGGAGTAAAGGGCAGTAGAACTGTCCTGAGCCTCTGCTGACTGAGGGCATCGAGAGAGGGGGTGGGGACAGGTGTTTTGCTTGATGGTCTGCCTGAGTCACAAGTACTAGTTGACCTGCCCCTCTCCACTGTTTAAAGACAGAGCTGATTAGGCTCCATAGAGAGTCTTTTGTTCTGTTAAGTGATCACTACAGCTGAAATCACTGAGAATCAGGTCTACGTGCTCAGACCTGCGGTGGGGACAGTGTTTCTGTGGAAGAGACGGCCCAGCCTGCACTCGCAGCGAGGTTCCCCCTCTGAGAGCTCGGCTGAAATCACTGAGAGCCGGTGGAACCTCAAGAGACCGACTCGCAGAGGTCACAGAGGCAGGTGGCAGCAGAAGGTGACGGCGCAGGGCCATTGGCAACAGAGCGGTGGAGTGAACGGTGGCGCGATGAACAACAGTGGCCAGAGCGAATAGTGAGCAGCTGGAGGAACAAGCAAGGTGCCTTCTTGCCCCCCACCTGGGAGGTGAACTCACGTGAAAGCACCTCTGAACTCTGAGTCTCCACTGACCAAGGACAGCACTGGTGAGTGGGGTGCGGTGGAGGGGAAAGTGAGGGGCACGTTAAATAAACATTTGTTTGTTGGGCTATATTTTAGTGACTTTGCTCCAGAATGCCAGATTTGTGACAGGGAATGGAAACTTACATAAATCTGTTTCCTAGTAGACCAAGATTTTTAAAACGCATTATTGTTTTCTCACATTGTTGCTATCTTGAGAGGCCATTATGTTGGGGAGTTTCTGTACTAAGCATTTTTATTATTATAATTAATTTTTACATAAGAACGGCCATACTGGGTCAGACCAATGGTCCATATAGGCCAGTATCCTGTCTTCCGACAGTGGTCAAGGCCAGGTGCCCCAGAGGGAATGAACAGAACAGGTAATCATCAAGTGATCCATTCCCTGTTGCCCACTCTCAGCTTCTGGCAAAGATGCTAGGGACACTCAGAGCATGGTGTTGCATCCCTCCCCATTCTGGCTAATAGCCACTGATGGACCTATTCTCCAGAATTTATCTAGTTCTTTTTTTAATCCTCTTATAGTTTTGGTCTTCACAGCATCCTCTGGCAAAGAGTTTCATGGGTTGACTTTATCTTGTGTGAAGAAGTACTTCCTTTTGTTTTTTTTTAAACCTGCTGCCTATTAATGCAATTGGGTGACTGCTAATTCTTGTGTTATGTGAAGGATTAAATAACATTTCCTTATTCACTTTCTTCACACCAGTCAAGATTTTCTAGACCTCTATCATATCCCCCCTTAGTCGTCTCTTTTCTAAGCTGAAAATTCCTAGTCATTTTAATCTCTCCTCCTGTTTCATCCCCTAATCATTTTAGTTGCCCATCTCTGTACCTTTTCCAATTCCAATATATCCTTTTTGGGATGGGGTGACCAGATCTGCACACAGTATTCAAGGTGTGCGCGTACCATGGATTTATATAGAGGCAATATGATATTTTCTGTCTTATTATCTATCCCTTTCTTAATGATTCCCAACATTCTGTTTGCTGTGTTGACTGCCGCTGCACATTGAGTGGATGTTTTCAGAGAACTATCCACAATGACTCCAACATCTCTTTCTTGAGTGTTAACAGCTAATTTAGACCCCATCATTTTATATGTACAACTGGGATTGTGTTTTCCAATGTGCATTACTTTGAAGTTATCAACAGTGAATTTCATCTGCCATTTTGTTGCCCAGTCACCCAGTTTTTTGAGATCCTTTTGTAGCTCTTCGCAGTCTGCTTTGGACTTAACGATCTTGAATAGTTTTGTATCATCTGCAAATTTTGCCACCTCACTGTTTACCCATTTTTCCAGATCATTTATGAATATGTTGAACCGTAATGGTCCCCGTACCGACCCCTCAGGGATACCACTATTTATCTCTCTCCATTCTGAAAATGGATAATTTATTCCTACCCTTTGTTTCCCATCTTTTAACCAGTTGCTGAACCATGAGAGGACTTCCCTCTTATCCCATGATGGTTTACTTTTCAAAAGTCAATTTAAATTAAATATTTTTTTAAAAGAAATTATATTTGCTTTAGAAATCTAGAACTGTTACGTGTTTTGGTGTATTTTGCATTATCCTTATGTGAAATTTGCATTATCCTAACAAAACATTTAATTTATTCATATCTCTTTTATATGTTGCAGGTCAAAGTGAAAATGAAAAGGCAAAAAATAATGCAACAATTTTTCCACTCAAAGGCCTCAAAAAAAAAGGTGAAGAACACATCAAGAACCAAGAATATATCAACATGTCATCTGAAGGTTCAAGTGGTGTATCTACATCCGACCAGCCCGAAGCACAAATACAGCTACGTACTGAAGAAACAGTGTCTCCAAAACCTAAAGGCAGTTCCCGATGTTTGTCAGTCAAATTGTTCCCATTTATTGAAGTTACAAAAGATGGCTACTGGTGCACCTCTTGCAAAGAAGCTTACGAAGAAGGAAAGCTTCCCAATGCTACAGTTGGTAAAAGTGGAGGAGCTGGGCTTGTCAGACCGATCAGCAAAGCCAATGCTGACAAACGACACGAAAAGGTTGCAAAACACCAGGTCTCTGGAGTGCATCAACATGCAGAAAGCCTTATAAGCCCCCTTTCAAAGCCAATTTTAGAAGTACTTAATGAGGCTGTTAAGAATGCTGGAGATACAACACAGTTCAAGCGAACACACATGGCCGCGGCATCCTACTTTCTATTTAAGCAAGAGATACCACACACTACAAACTGGAGGCCAATGTTAAGTGCATTGTTACTTGTTCATCCTGAAGTTGAACACTGGTTCCGAACAAGACCAGCAAATGCTCACTATCTTTCTGCAAGAAACTCAACTGACTGGCTAGAAGCATGCGGTGCAACAGTGAAAGACTCAACAGTTGAAAAAGTGAAGAACTCTCTCATCACATTCAAAAAATTTGCATACATGGCTGACGAATGCACCGATGCAAATGGTCATCAAGTATTAAGTCATTGTGTACGTTATCTTGATGTCAGTGGTAGGCCAGTAGATGCATTTCTAGATGTTCAAGTTATAGAAGACACATCGGCTGCATGTGTGACAACCCACAACTTAGAAGAGTTAAATGCTTGTCAATTGGACCCCAAAGAGATGGCTGCTTGTGCATTTGATGGAGCTGCAAACTTCTCTGGAAGACATGGGGGAGTACAAGCTTTGCTTAGAGAAAAGTGTAACCTTAATCTCTCCTAAACACACTGCAGAGGCCATCTACTCCAAATAGCGCTAGTACGAGCTGAAGACTCTTCAAAAGACATTTAAAAAGCTAAAAATTTAATGTCTTCATAATATTCTTTTTTCAGCAAGAGTCCAAAAAGACTGAATATCTTGGAAAATATAGAAGATACACTGGGACTGAAGTTCAAATTAGTCCAACTTAGGAAAACTCGCTGGCTTTCTCATGAGCGATCCTTGGCTGTTGTCTTAAAACTACTCCAGCCGTTAGTACTGTCTTTGGAAAGTATCTACCAAGATGGGGTGGATCCATCAATGACGCTGGTGGATTACTTTTGCTACTACGTTCATAGAAGACTATTGCGATTCTCTCTCTTGTAAGTCTACTGTTGAAACTACTTGGGTCTTTGAACAATGCCATCCAGGCATCTGCTACAACAGTAGTAGATCTTTGTCCAGCAATAGAAGCTACATTTGGATCAATCAGAGAGCTATCCATTGAAAACGTACTGGAAGAAGCAAAGACGTCAGTCCAGAAGTTGACTAATGAAGGCATTTATATTGAATCCTTAAGTTAAGAGGACAAGAAGTGTTTGTTAAGACAATCAAAAAAGTACATAGACTTGATTCTTAAAAATCTACAACAGCGACTTCTAGATTCTACTCAACCCCTATGTAGCTTTTACAGATCCCTGTCCTATAAAACACCGACAGTTGAGTGGAGTGAGGCACTGCCGGCAATGGGGCTGCCATGCGCTCAGGACAGAATAGAGAATTTGAACACACAGTGGAATATCGTATGACGAATGAATGAAGATTTGACTTCAACTTCCTTTTTATCATAACTAGTGGCTCGACCCTATCTTTGTGCTATGTTTCCTGGGATGAAAGAAGTAGAAATTCATCTCTTGCTACTCCCAGTCACAACAGCTACAGTTGAGCGTTCTTTTGCCTTGTTGAATAGAATTTTGTGTTTTGAAAGAAGTCACCTTGTGCCTGATCATGTGAATGATCTAATGAGCATATCAGTTGAAGGAATGGAAGTACCAGCCACACGAGAAACCACCAAAGAGGAACGCATTGCATTCAAGAAGTTCGTTAACAGAGTTGTGCAAAATTATAACAAGAAACCAAGAAGGATGTAGATGTAGAGCTTCATAGAAGGCTTGAGTGGCCAACTTTAATTTAATCTAATAAAATGGTCATGAAACATTTTCCCGTTTTTACTATGGTGCCATACAGCCCACCTTCATCCTCACGGTCTCACCCCTCATCGGCCCTGACACTCCCCCCCTGCCCAGTAAATTCGAACACCCCTCCCAATTTCAATTCCTGGGGAAAACACTGTGGCAACACTCTCCCAGGAGTTTGCTCCCTTGAATGGTGCATCTCCCCCTTTCTCTCCTGGCTCAGATGCTTCTGAAGGCAGCAGATGGCTCTGCGCTGAAGAATGAGAAGCTGCAGCTCTTTGTTAGCTATGGAGATAAGAATAAGGCCCAGACCTTCCTGACGGACGAGTCTGGCAGAGCCTCCTTCAAGCTGGACACCTCTGGCTGGACCGGGAGCGTCACTCTGAAGGTAAGGGACGGGCCTCCGAGCCCCAGTGTGGCCCCTGCACTCCAGCCTCTGTTAATGTGTCTGTGATGTTTATTAGGGTAGTGCCTAAGGAGCAGCCAGGATCTGGGCCCCATGGTGCTGGCCGCTGCACACACTCAGCGTAGCAAACGGCCCTGCCCGAAGAGCCTGCAGGCTGAATAGCCAGGCCAGACGGTGGGTGGAGGAAGGCGCAGAATCCACCAGCAGAGTCATCAATGGGGTGACACAAACGGCATCTTAGTGCCACCACTTGTCTTCTCATTCATATTCGGGGTGGGGTTTAGTTAGGAAGGTCGCCCCCTTCGGGCAGCTCAGCTCAGGAGCTGCCCCATTGCCACTGTTGGGCTGCCCCATTCGAACCACTGGGGTTTTCCAGGTCACTCTTACGGACGCAGGGTGAGAGGCCATGGGGGTGAGCTCAGTCAGCAGCATCAGAGCCTGGCCTGTCCCGGCTGCATTCCTGTCCTGTGCTGGGTACTCAGCACCCCGGCGATCCCCATCTCTCTCTCTGTCCCCCAGGGGCACTTCAAGCAGGTGAACGACAGCGCTGAGGATGACACAGTCTCTCCCATTTACCCGGATACCCATCGTTACCTGGAGCCCTTCTACTCCAAGAGCCAGAGTTTCCTGAAGATCCGCTCGCTGGGTGGGGTGCTGCCCTGCGACCAGGCCCAGCAGCTCCAGGTGGATTACATCATTGCTAGAGAGGCCCTGAGGAACGTGTCCAGGAGCCTGGATTTCATCTTCCTGGTGAGCCCCATCCTGGGAGACTAAAGCGTGTGTGTGTGTGTGTGTGTGTGAGCACGTGTGTGTGAGCATGAGCTGTGGAGTCAGTGCTGTGACCCCACAGCAGAGCAGTGGGGAATGGAACGGTTCCTTTGAATTACAAGGGCTGGCCTAGATCAGGACGAGACTTTTCCCCTTTCCCCACTAGGGGCTCTGGTTCCAATCTGGCCCCAAAGTGGGGGCTGGCTGGCCTGGGGGGGCTGGGGAATGGGATACCTGCCTGAATGTTCTTTCTTGCACCCCCACCTCTGCTGGCTCAGTCCGTGGGGAGGAGAGGCTGCACCCTCCCCTGACTCCAGCCTGCGTGGCCATCCCCACTTCGGGGCATTTGTCAGCCCCCTGTATAGCATCAGCTCGTGACCCACTGTGCCTGGGGTAGCCCTCACTGGAAATGCCAAGGTCAGGGCAGGCTGCAAACAGAAGAGCAGATTCTCTGAAAACTGGTGGGTCACACTGAAGTTGGACTCACCAACCAGTCGCAAACTGCTCCTGATTCCCCACACTGGTTGTCAAGAAGCTAAAAAAGAAATCACACAGCCCCCTTTACTGCATTCCAGTTCTCTGGCTTCCAATCAGCGCCAAGGTCCAGTACAGTGAGAAGTCATTTAAAACCTCTACTCACTATACAAAATGTTCTTCTGACCCCAAAGCGTGAGCCACGTCACCAAGTCAATGTTAGTTTGGATCTTACCCAAATACCACGCTGGCAGCCAATCCTTTAGTGTCTGAAATGAAAGGTTTCTTATAAGGAAAAAGGAAAGAAGAAGAGGGGAGTTGTTAAATGGTAAAGCAATCACACTCAGAGACTTCAAAGTCCATATATCAGGTTCTGAGCAGTATTGGTGAGTTTGCTGGCTTGAAAGTCCCTCTGGAACTGATCCACAGCTTGGATGGGTCGTTCAGTCTTTTGTTCAGAGCTTCGTTTGTGGAAAAGTGACTCCAGAGGTAAGAAGCAAAAAAGGAGACAAAATGGAGACAATGCAGCTGCCCTTTATGGTCCTTTTGCCTTTGCCATTCCTTTGTCCCAAACACAAGCTGCACAGCACATGGCATGGAAAAGCCTTAGAGTTCTCTGTCCACCAGCCTGCCCTACAGGCCTTGCTGACTCATAAGGTGTGTCCCCTAGTTCCTTTCAATGGGTTCACTGTAGGGCTGATGACCCATGATGTGCCATCAAACAGGCTAGGCAGTGCTGATGCCAGTCTGTGTGGGGGTGTCACCCAGAACCACAGCAAGAGTTTTGAAACACAGATGTACCATACAGGCCTAGAACACAGTACAAAGGTGATACAAACATATAAACAAGATCATCATGCTTGGCAAATCATACCATTTACACAGACACCTCACATGGCATATCTGGTCAGATTCCCTGCAATTTTATAATGTTGGTATCAATCATACCATAAAGTGTCTCCCAGATTCCACACAGCATCACAAGCTCAGTGACTCCCATCTCCTCCTCCGTAGGTCGTGGCCAAGGGAGCCATCACCAGGATCCTCCACAAGGGGCTGGACCTCAGGGAGGGGGCTGGTAAGTGGCAGGGGAGGGGTCACTGCAGGGAGGCCCCTGCTCCCAGGAGCAACTGGGGATTGAGCCCCTGAGCAGGGGCCAGGCTGGGGGAGGAGGCTCTGCCTGCTGGGCCTGACTTTCCCTGGGTGTTTCCCACCATCCCTAGGGCTGAAGGGCTCCTTCTCTGTGGAGCTGCCCATTGGTGCTGAGCTGGCGCCCGCTGCCAAGGTGCTGGGTTACACGGTGCTGCCCAATGGAGAGATGGCTGCCGATGGCACCCTGCTGCGCATGGCCAAGTGCCTCCCGAACAAGGTGAGCCTGGGGCTCGGGGCAGAGGAGCCTCTGGGGTGGGGAAATCCCTCCCTGCCCCATAACAGGAGCCCTGAGCAGGGGCATCGCTGGGTGCCCTCGGCCCCCCCTTTCCCCGGCCTTACAGCAGCGCCAGGCTCTTAGTGATTGTGCCGGCTCCGGTGAATTGATCACGAGCCATTTCATCCCCGTCTGCAGGCGCAACAGGAAATGCTCCTGCCCCCACACAACGTAGGAGCAGGTGCCTACACTCTCCCCCCACCCCCATTCCGCTCGCCCTGGCCCCAGCAAGTACCTGCTTCCCCAAACCCTTCCTGCCTCCCCCAGCCCACCCTGCTTCCCCCACGGACTCAGCCTCTCACTCTGGGCCCAGCAGGTACCTGCTGCCTGCCTGCCCCACTTCTCGCCCTCCCTATACCCAGCTCCCCAGAGCTCCTGCTTCTCCTGTCCCTCCCGCCCCACTGACCAGGTCCAGGCAGGTACCTGTGACCCAGACCCTCCCCGTCCCACTCTGGGCTTCCCGGCAGGGACCTGCTGCCCTGAGCCTCCCCACTCCCCAGTCTGCCCAGCCACATGCTCCCCCAACCCCGCAGAACTTCTGCCGCCTCAATCCTACCCACTGCCCATCCTTCAAACTGCGCTGCCCCTGCTCACCCTTGGAGATTCCTGGGGTGGGGGGGCAGGATATGATGGTCTGATCCCCCTTCCTCTCTGGAGTCTTGTGGGGGTCACCAGCTGGCTATATTTCTTTAGAGGGCTTCTAAAGACTGGGGCACAAGTGTCAACAGACCCCCTTGCCCCCGGCAGTGCTGTGCGTGTCCAGACACACTGGGAGGGGCAGGAGAGTGGAGAAGCCAAAGGACAGACAGCAGCCCAGGGCTTCGTCCTTGTCAAGAATCTCAGGACTTTTAGGGGTCTGACGCATGAGTTTTATCTGGGGGGGCTGGCGATCCCATCGTATCCCTACCCTCCTGCACCTCCTATCCCGCTACCCCCGGGGTGTCTATGAATAACTGCAGCTCCATGCGCCATCCCACAGGGGCGCTGAATGAGCCTGGACTCTCTCAATCCTCGCGCCCCCGAGCACCGACTCCCAAAGCCCCAGCCCTTCAGCCAGTGGGGTCTGGGGCCAGAGTGAAACTTGGTGCCTGCCCCTCCCCTGCCCTGGCCTGTCTCCTCCTGGCCCTGGGGGTCTGTCTCCCCCTCCCCTCTGACACGCTGTGCCTCCCCAGGTGAAGCTGGCCTTCTCGCAGGACCGGGCCCTGCCGGGCTCAGAGCTCCAGCTGCGGGTGCAGGCTGCCCCCGGGTCCCTGTGCGCCGTCCGCGCCGTGGATCAGAGCGTGCTGCTCATGAAGCCCGAGGCCGAGCTCAGCGTCGACACCGTGAGTCCAGAGCAGCTCAGCCGCTCGCCCGGCCACCTCCCGCTCGAGTCCTCCCCCCATGCAGGGAGGGGCGATGCACGGCTGCTGGGGGACCTCGAGGCCCCCTCTCCCCGTCTGAGGGCTGCTCCCATGGCACTTGACAGCCCCTAACTCTGGGGGTCCCCGTTTGCCTTGCCTGTTCTCCCATCAGCCCCTGCAGTGCCCCGCTCCCGGCACCCCCCCCCCCAAGCTCTGGCTGGGAATATGGAGCTCGGAGCTGAGATAATGGCCGGGGTAACCGGAGCTCGCTCTCCAGGGCAGAGCTGGTCCCCAGGGGCAGGGGCAGGAGAATTCCCTGCCCCCCATGTACAGCAGGGGTCAGCTGGCCAGGTGCATTGTGGGAGTTGTCCCTGCCCGGGTGATGATTCGGAATCGCACGTGGCCCATCGCTGGCGCCTGCCATCCAGGGGCTCACGGGCTCTGCACATGGCGAGTGGAGCCTCCCAAGTCCCGTGGGGCAGCAGAAGCTGGAACTCGTGACTCAGCCCCTGGCTCATCCTGTCCCTGCGAGCCATGTTCCCAGGGCCAGCCCCCAGCGAGGCCCCTCTGTGATCCGGACAGAGAGGGGGAGGAGCACTAAAAGCCATTCACTGCCCCACGGAGAGAAGGGGCACGTGACCTGCCTCCCCCAGGTTCTCCCAGGGCATTGGGAGCCACAGGTCCCTCTCCTAGGACTGTGGGGGGGAGATGCAGGGACAGACGCCCATGTGGGGGACGGGGCTGGGTGCTGGGCAGGGTGCGGGGAGATGTCCAGGCTAGAGATGAGGCTGGGGCGAGAGCGGAGGTTTGTGGGGTGATGTGTTAGTGGGAGGAGGGGCAGGAGCTGGCTCTGTGGTAGCTCGTGTCTTGGTTTCATGGCTGATGTGTTCTGTGTTTGTCTTTAGGTCTATAACTTGCTCCCCGATTTTCCCCAAGGAGACTATCCCGCCGCAGCTCACGAGCCTGACTCATGTTCTAATATGCACGGCGCTCTAGGTCCAGCTTTTCACTGCCACGGCTTAAGTCACAGGTGGAGGTGTCGCAGAGGGACTAGCAGCTGGACTCCTCCACCACGTGACGCCTACAGCCTGTTTAAGGTAGGGTTGCTCCTGGCCATGCCTCACACTCCTCTGTAGCCTGAAAGGACTAAGCTGGCTCCAGTGTGCTCAGAGCTGCTGGCACCCAGGGATGACATCCCACCAAACAGTCCGGCCTCTTCTAATGAATCCCCAGGGACGCTCCCAGCTAACTCAGGCCTGGGAAACACCTCCCCAGCCACCTTCAGACACAGCCCAGGCCCTGGGACAGATCCCCGGCGTATCCAGAGAGCGGGAACGCCCCATCCCGCCCCACTCCTGGGCACAGGGGTGTTACAGGCGGGGCTGGCAGCACCACCTCCACTTACGGTTCTCTGGCACTTCCCGTTAGAAGTTTTCATTTCTTGTAACTTTGTCTGACTGAAACGTTTGGGACTGAAATTCCTCCAGCCAGGGGTCAGCCTCAGGCCGAACTTTCTGAGGCATTTCAGCTAACACAGCTCAGCAGTTGCTCAGAAGGGGAGGTGGGGAAAATACTCTGTTTCTCCATGATAAAATGTAGCTATTTAATTGAAAAGCTCCCTGCCTCGGAGCAGAGACTTGACCCTTGGCCGGGAGGTTGCCTGGGGTCAGGGAGGTGCCCTTTGCCTTTCCCATGGCATCCAGCCCCCATTTGGGTGAATGGGAAGCCCCTGGGAATGGCAGGACCCACATGCCCAGTAGAGGCTTGGAGTCTGGCAGCCTTGTTCTGCGAGGAATCCCTCTGCTCCACGCCTGCTCCATCCCCTCCTACATGCCGACCGGCCTGTGCGCACCTTCGCCACAGAGCGACTGAGCCTGCTCCAGCCCGGGGCCACAGCAGCAGAGCAGGATTTTCCTGAAACGGCTCCTCCGGCCAGCAGGACCTGCGGTGGCACTGGGTGCGGGAACGGGGCTGCTGGAGACGGTGCCTCTGGCACTCCCAGTGCTCCCCAGCTGGTCCCAGGCAGCCTGGAGGAGGAGGAAGCCACCTGAGTGAGATGTGCAGAGGGGGCAAGGAGGGGGAGGGGATGGGTGCAGAGGAGGCAAGGACAGGGTTTGGGGATGGGGCAGAGGGAGCAAGAGGGAGTTGGGGGGATGAAAAGAGGGGTCAAGGAGGGCTGGGGGATGGGTGCGGAGGGGGAAAGGAGGGGCTGGGGGATAGGTGCAGGGGAGCAAGGAGGGGATTGAGGGAATGGGTAAAGAGGGGCAAGGAGGGAGTGGGGGTGATGGCATCTTGCCCCAGCAGAGGGAGGGATGGACGGCGTCCTCCTGAAGCCCGCAGAAGCTGGGGCTCTGTCCCAGCTGGGGGCTGCTCTGAGTGATGGCAGCCTCCCAGGGCCTGGGATCCCAGTCAGACAGCCATAGTGGAATGGGCCGAGGTTGCCCTCCCGCTGCCAGCAGCCCCGTACAGGGAGTGTGGTGCCCATGGCACCCAGCACCACGGCATCTAGGGGCTGCCCAGTGGCCAAGTCACTCCCCAGAACTGTCCCCCAGGCGGGCAGGGGCGTTGGGTTCTGGGCACCACGGGACCAGACAGATGCTGCCGTGGGGGGAGCTCGGGGAGGCGCGGCTGGCCCCATGGGCGGGTACTGCACATTGCAGCGGGGCAGCAGCTCTGCTCCAGCAGAGGTTGAGTGTCACTGGCTGTTTAAAAGAGGAGTGTCTGAGTGCTCTGACATCCACAGCCTGGCCTGAGATTTGCTGTGCCTCGTGGCAGTGCAGGGTGGGGCTAGGGGGCCAAATGTGGGGTCATTTGATCAGGGGTGGGGGGACTCAAGATACAGCCCCCCTCATAAAACGTGTTTACACAACCGCCCAGTTCTCATTGTGCTGTTTGCCCACACTTGGGGCTCCAGCTCTGGCTCTGATTCTTCCGAAGTGATCTCAGCTGCTCGGGATTTACCCCAGCTAGTGCTCCACCCCCGCCTCTGGGGAGCAATATTCCCAGCGTAACTGAGGGGAACGGTCAGAACCTGAGCGGAGGTGACCTGAACTGAGGCCCCAGAGAGTGGGGTGCGCATGTGCAGCCGGGCTGGGGCTCTGTGGAGTTTTGCCTGAGACCGAAATCTCAGATTGAGGGTGATGTTTTCAAGGGCTGAAAGAGCCGCGTGCAGATGCTGCCGTTCCTGCAGAGGGTTGTCAAGGAAATGAGCATCGACCAGAGGGAAGGGCAAAGCTCCAGCACCCGGTTAGGAGAATCCAAGCAGGCTCCTCAGAGCTGGACTGAGGCAGATTGGACCCTTCGAGGTTCACGTGCCCCTCTCCTCCTGTCTCAGGCACAGCTCTGTGTGATGGGATCCCCGGGTACAACCTGGGACTGGGATTCTGCTGTGGCCGCTTAACTCTCCAACCTGGGTTGTCTCTCACAGTGCTTTGCTAGTGACAAGCAGCAAACCCCTCCAGGTGCTGTTATCGCTCAGCACAACAGCATGTGGAGCCCCCCACCCAGCTAGATTGCATGAATGCTCCCAGAGCACATACAAATCACACAGAGAAAGGCACCCACCAATCTTGCAAACCACCTGCCTTGCACCCCGGAATTGTACCGTCTTGCCCTGGTCAGAAGCCTGACCAGGGTAAGTTTATAACCCAGTCCTCCCCTCCCTCGATGTGTAGATGGGACACACAGTAGCCTTTGTAACCTCAGCTGAGATTTTTCAAGACTTCAACCAAAACACCCTGTTTTCTGTAAAATATAAAACAGATTTATTAACTACAGAAAGATAGTGATTCAGTGGTAGGCACAAAAGGTCAGAGATAGTTACCAACGAAAATAAAAGGTAAGTGCACAGTCTAAATCTTAAACCTTAATTACACTAGGCAGTATTTGGGTCAAGCAATCTTCTCACCCCACTGGAGGTTATAGTTCTTAATACATAGGTGTGACGTTGCACTCCATATGTTTTATGGAAATATGCTTATGAGTGTAAATATGATGTCACTGGAATATGCTTTATGCAAAAGGTCTCTTGTAGGGTATCATAATAAATGTTATAACCTACTGAATATATTCCTGTATCATTCTTGTATCTGAAGCTAGAAATATAAAGTATAACTCTGAGGTACATTTTCTAATTATGCAAAGTGTGGGCCATTAATGGTGGTTTAGAATCTTGATGGCTCCCATTGACTGTAAATGGTTTGTTTACCTGCAAACCTTCCTGTGTACATGTGGGCCAACCCAGGAAGAATGGAGACTAGGGCTCTTACAGTGACATGTGACCATGTCACCTGATACTAGATTCCATCTTAATCCTTGTACTTTTCCACTGATGAGGCGGGGGTGGGGACAAGCAGAGATAAAAGATTCCCGCCTTGTGCCAAAGCTATAAATGGGGTGGAACAGGACAAAGGGAGCTGCCAGTCATGAGGAAATCCCTGCTTACCAGCTGAGATGTCTGCTAGATCTAACAAAGACTGTACCAGGGGAAAGGTTTGTGCCCATACTAGGAAGGAGTCTAGTCTGTGAAAGAAGCTTATTGGAACATCTTTGAGGGTGAGACATTACCTGTAATCAGTTTCTTAATGTATTAGGCTTAGACTTGTGTGTTTTGTTTTATTTTGCTTGGTAACTTACTTTGTTCTGTCTGTTATTACTTTACTTTATAAATAAACAAAAGTGATTTTATTAACAGAGTAAGCGATTAATACCTGGGGAGCAAGCAGCTGTGCATATCTCTCTATCAGTGATATAAAGGGCAAACAATTTACGAATTTACCATGTACAGTAACTCCTCACTTAACGTTGTCCCTGTTAAGGTTGTTTCGTTGTTATGTTGCTGATCGATTAGGGAACATGCTTGTTTAAAGTTGCGCAGTGCTCCCTTATAACGTCGTTTGGCAGCTGCCTACTTTGTCCACCACTTGCAGGATTCTCTGGAAGAGCAGCCCCTCCTGCCCTGCTCTCTGCCTTGGAACTGCTCCTGGGAGGTTCCTGCTTGCTGGCAAAGGGGCGGAGAGGGGTGCTGATTCTAGGCACTGCACCCACCAGCAGCTTCCTGCCTCCCCCGCCGCCCCAGCTCACCTCGCTCCACCTCCTCCCCTGAGTGCGCCGCATTCCCGCTTCTCCACCTAGCTCCCAGGGCTTGCCGCCATGAAACAGCTATTTTGCGGCAGCAAGCCCTGGGACAGAGAGGGTGGAGGGGGAACGCGGCGTGCTCCGGGAAGAGGCGGGCCGGGGCAGAGATTTGGGGAAGGAGTCTAATGGGGCAGAGAGGGGGTAGAGTTGAGGTGGGGACTTTGGGGAAGGGGTTGGAATGGGGACGGGGCAGGGGCGGGAGGGGGCAGGGCAGGAGTGGAGTCGGGGCAGGGCCAGGGGCGAGAACCCACTGGCGCCAGGAAAAGTTGGCACCTATGCTGCTGATGTCAGATGTCCCCCTGTTCCTTCCCTGCCCCCTCCGTACCCCCTCTCCACAAAGCAGAGGAGGGGACAGTCATGGGGAGAAGACGGGCGGGGGGCTTGCAGGAAGCTGTTGCTTCCTGTCTGACCTGTCTGATCTGCTTAAAAGGGCAACATTCTTGAAATGCGATCGGCGTACTTAAAGGGGCAATGCACGTCTCTCTCTCTCTCACTCATGCACACACCCCACAGCACTTTGGAAAGTCAGCACCTGTGCAGAGGTGCATGTGCTGTCAGGAGGAGGGAGTGGCGCGCTCCAGCTGGATAGTGTGGGCTCATCATCATGTTCAGTTTTTGCAGGAAAGTATTTGCAGATCCTGCCCTGCAGCTATTGTGTTTCCTCCCTACTGCCTCAGTCCATGCTGCCTTGTAGAGTGTGAGGCTACATTAACAACAGCGTATTAACACTTGAGGGCTCAGCCGAATGCTAGTTCCATCATTTAGCAGAAAGGCATTCCCTGGGAAACATCCCACCCTCTTACTCCACCACCTCAACCAAGCTTCACAATCATTCATTGCTGTGTACCATATTAAACTGCTTGTTTAAAATGGTTTAAAACTTATACTGTTTATGTATATAATGTCTTTTGTCTGGCGACAAAAATTTCCCTGGAACATAACCCCCACATTTACATTAATTCTTATGGGGAAATTGGATTCGCTTAACATCGTTTCACATAAAGTCGCATTTTTCAGGAACATAACTTCAATATTAAGTGAGGAGTTACTGTATAAGCTTTATACAGAGTAAAACAGATTTCTTTGGGGTTTGGATCCCATTGGGAGCTGGGTGTCTGGGTGCTGGAGACAGGTAACTTGCTAAGCAGTTTTCAGTTAAGTCTGCAGCTTTGGGGGCATTGACCAAACCCTGGGTTTGTGTTGCAGCAGGCTAGTGTGTCTGGCTCAACAAGACAGGGTTCTGGAAGTCCCAAGCTGGCAGGGAAAATGGGCTCAGAGGTAATTTCAGCAAATCAGGTGACAATCCCAAGGGGATCTCTGTGACCGAGCCCGTCACAACAGGCTTCCCCTTTTAAGCCTGGGACCAGTGTCCTCAGTTGAAGTCTTTGTCCTCCCAGGGTTCTTGTTGCTTCCAGCGTAGGTGGGGGAGGAGAAAGGCCAAAGTATGATGCCACGCTCCCTTATTTTAGCAGCTCCTGATGCTTTTTCCTCTGTCTTCCATCTCACCCAGGATGCGGCTTTGAAAATTCTCACCAACACAGACACCAAGCAGCCCTGTCAAGGTGGACTCTTACAGTACTTCGACTCTAGAGGCATTGGCCTGTCATTCCCCACAGCAGGTCAGATGGGCCGGGAGCTTCCATCTCCCTCGAACAGCAATTCCAAATGCCCTCTCTGCCCTCTGAGGGGAGATGTGTGGGCTCGTGGATTGGGCCTGGGACCTGGGTTCTGATCCTGGTTCTGACACTGTCATTGTCAATTCCAGTGTTCTCAATGGAGTGGGCGGTGGGGGTTTCTCCATTGTTCTCAAAGATGCCGATAGTGGGAGTTTGTCCATTGTTCTCAATGGGGCAGGGATGGGAGGGTTTCTCCAGTGTATTCAGTGTGGGATGGGTACACACGATCATCTGACCCTTCCAATTCAGCTCTGGTCCTCCTCCTTTGGTTGGAATTCTTTGCCAGAGGATGTTGAGAAGGCCCAGGCTATAACAGGTTTAAAAAAAGAACTAGATAAGTTCATGAAGGACAGGTCCATCAATGGCAATGAGCCAGGATGGGCAGGGATGGTGTTCCTAGCCTCTGTTTGCGAGGAGCTGGGAATGGGTGACAGGATGGATCGCTTGATGATGACCTGTTCTGTTCATTCCCTCTGGGGCACCTGGCATTGGCCACTGTTGGAAGATAGGATACTGGGCTAGATGGACCTTTGGTCTGACCCAGTATGGCCGTTCTTATGGTCACACGGAGACCGATGGCTTTTCATGCTCATTGGTTGCAGTAGAAATGCACTAAGCCTCTCTAGGCCTCCATGTCCCAGCTGCTCAGTGTGGCTAATGATTTGACCTGCCTGGCTAGCGGCTCTTTGTGAAGGGCTCTGGGAGTTCAACGTACCATTAATGCTGTTCAGGGTAGAGCTGGGACTGAGCTCAGGACTCCCTGGCTCCTGCCCACGTGCTGAGTCCACCAGTGTGTGCTGTATCTAGGACAACCCCAGCCCAACCCCCTCCAGCCCCAGTCCTGCCATCAGGGGTCAGTTCTCAGAGCTCCTGGTGGCCATGTGCAGTCCCCCAAAATGTCCCCAAACATCGAGATTTTGCAAGTGCAAACACACGTGAATCCTCGTCTGGATTTTCCTCCAAATCAGCCTGGGGCTCCCTCAACCCACCTTTATATCTTTTCTTGGCATGATCCCTGGGGCAGCACATGTGGATAGTGCAGCAGGGACCCCACGGATCAATGACCTGCTAGTGCCAGAACCCAGCACCCAGAAGGAGGCAGCGCCACGTGCATACTTCCCAGAGACATGGCTGTGGGACCTGGTCCCTGTGGGGTGAGTGAGGAGCTGTCACAAACTGTCCCAGCGGAGCGGCCTCCAGGCCACACCCTCGAAAGCACCAGCTCCCAGAGGCGGTGCACTGGCTGGGGGAGGGCTGGCTGCCCGCGTGGGGCTGGTTCCTGCACCCTGTTGCCAGCAGAGAGGAACCCAGCACAGCAATGGAGAATAACAAGCCCCCAGTGCTGTGGGATTTGTCTATTTACAGATGTAACGAACCTGCAGAGCGGGGGAGAGGGCTGGGAGCCCGGGCAGCACCATGACCCTGCGTCTTGCCAGCAGAGCGGGGTTCAAGCCAGCCACTCCCCAGCTGTTCCCTGGATCCCGACCCCATTTATCATCCCGACCCCATTGCCCTTTCTGGTGGTTTCATTCTCAAGCGGCGCCTGGGAGCTCCAGCACTGAGAACATGGGAAGGGACTGAACCCCTGGAAGCGGGACATTGAGGGCGGCACATGGGTTACAAGTGGGAGAGGCAGGGAATCCTGAGCAGGGGGAATTGAGGCTGACACCCAGGAATAGCCCCGTGACAGGGAGATGTGTCTGGCTGCGGAAGGGGGGATCCCCATCCCGTGGGACACTGAGCCCAGCCCAGAAAGCCCCGGAGCAGGGAAGGATCCTGCGCTAGCTGGCGTGGGGCGGAGGAGGGGATGAGATGGGGACACTGACAGCTCTTCCCCTCTCTGCTGTCTGGGATTGCCCTGTTTCTGTGCCACCGGCCCAAGGCCTCAGCCCAGCGGAGGGCCGGGCAGGGATGTCTCTGGTGGCTGTGCTCATGGGTCCTTCCCATGGGGCAGCTGCGTGTCTGACGCTCGGTTTGTGTCTGTCCCGGCCCAGCGAGGGGGGCTCCAAGGACATCCCAGTCTCGGTGCCCGACACCATCACAGAGTGGAAAGCTGGGATGTTCTGCACGGCAGAGGTGGGCTTTGGGCTCTCCCCCACAGCCACCTTCATGGCCTTCAAACCCTTCTTTGTGGAGCTGGCCTTGCCGTACTCCGTGATCCGGGGAGAGGCCTTCGCCCTAAAGGCCACCGTCTTCAACTACCTGCAGCAGTGCATCAAGGTGAGCGCCGCCCGGGGCTGAGCTGCTGGGGCTGGTGACCTGGGGCTGGGGAGCTGGGCAGCCGTGCAGGCTGGCAAGTGGCACTGTCAGTCACTGGCTGTGACCCTGTGATCCCTGGGGTCAGCACATCGCGGTGAGGGGGCCTGAGCCCCAGAGGGGCCACGTCTTGGCCTGGAGCTGACACATGTGAGTGAGTCCCCCACAGCCCTAAGGGGGCTCTCGTGTTGGGCCCCACAGGTGCGGCTGACGCTGGCGGAGTCTGCGCAGTTCCAGGTGCAGGCAAGTGAGGATGGCGCCTACACCAGCTGCCTCTGTGCAGATGAAGGGAAAACCTTCCAGTGGGAGGTGACGGCGAGCAGCCTGGGTAAGGGGCGCTGGGGGCTCTGTGCTGGAGGGGAGGGGCAGGGAAGGGGTGGGGGGCTCTGCACAGCAGGGGGCAGAGGGGGTGCTGGAGCCTTTGCACTAGGGAAGCAGGTAGGGGCCTTTGGAGGCTCTGCATGGGGGGAGAGACGGGTAAGGGGCATTGGAAGCTCTGTTCTGGGAGTGAGAAGGAGGGCGCAGAACAGGGTTGCTGAGGGCTTGGTGCCGAGGGGAAGGGGAGGGGATGGGAAGGGCTGTGGGGGGCGGGGGGAGAGAGAAGGACACCCCAGCAGAAAAACCCCTTTCACGTTAACCCTTCTGCCAGGTGGAGCTGGCAGCAGCAAGGGCCAGGTTCAATATCTCGGGCTTCCCCTTAAGAGCACGACACAGAGCCAGCTCGGCCTCTCTCACTGCCAACGCCTCTATTGCTGCTGTCTGCAGCTGGCTCACAGCTCCGCTGGCTCTCTGCCGCTGAGCCACTGCGCTATAGCCGGGCAGAATCCAGACGAATGAGCAGCTCTGTCATCCCTGCCCTGCCACCTTGGCTGACTTCAGTAGCTCCCACCTGGGCCGCTCACAAACAGACCCCAGTGTGCAAGCCGCACCATGAGCGTCTGTGTGTGACTGCAGCCTGCCTGCCACTCTCGGGTTACACTCTGGCTCTCGCCAGCCTGGGTTATACTGCAGGGCGACCCCAACACCCCCAGTCCGAGATCTTCCTCCAAAAAGGTTTGTCCTGCCTGCCCAGCCCTCTCCTGGACAATACAAGTTACATTTAGGCTGATATTCCTTTACGAGAATAACATGCATGCATCTTGTCACCCCAAATGGAGTTGCCCAGACACTTCAGTTTAAACACACTGGATTAGATAAAACAATCAAACACGTTCATTAACCACAAAGAGAGATTTTAAGTGAGTGCAAGGAATGGGGCATAAAAGTCAGAAATGGTTACAAGAAAAACAGAGAGAAGCCGTTTACTATTACCTGACTTAACAAACTACATCAGCTTCAAGCACAGTTTCTCCCCGCTCGCTTCCAGTGGTCTCACTGACCAAGCCCTGTAGGTCAGGACCCCTCTGCCGTCTCGCTGGCCGTTGCTGCTTCCTGCTGCGATGTCATGTTCCGAGGGTCCCCCATGTAACACAGCTGTCAGTGATTTCAGCAGGGAGGGGGGCAGTTTCTGGGTTGCCATTCGCTGTTCCCGCACAAGGGCTAAGGTAGAGAAACCCATTACACTCAACTCATCATTTCCCTCCATCCTTTCCTTCCCCTCTTTCCTTCTCTCTCTTTTCTCCCCCATTCTCTCTCTCTCTCTCTCTCTCTCTCTCTCCATTTTCTCTACTTTTCTCTCCCTTCTTCACCACCCTCTCTTCTGCCTCTCCCTCTTCCAGGCTTGACAAAGCCCTGGCTGGGATGATTTAACTGGGAATTGGTCCTGCTTCGAGCAGGGGGTTGGACTAGATGACCTTCAGGGGTCCCTTCCAACCCTGAGATTCTATGATTCTATGATTCTTCCAGTATCCTCCCCCCCCTTGGACACAGGCTCCTCTCTGCCTCTGGCGGGGCGTTGGTCTGTCTAATGGGAGCGTCTCTCACCTTGCTCGGCAGGGGAGGTGAACTTCACTGTCAGCACCGAGGCTCTGCACACCGAGGAGCTGTGCGGCAATGAACTGGCCGTGGTGCCGGCCCAGGGGCGAATGGACACTGTGATAAAGCCCCTGCTGGTCCAGGTCAGTGTCTGGTCGGGGCCTCTGGGCAGAGCAGAGCAAGATCTGGTGTCTGGGTCTCACCCCCTGGTAGCCGTGGGCCGAGTCTGCATTGTTCTTTGTCCTGCCACAGGAAATAATGTCCCAGCACTACACCGTCCATGTCCCGGACCCTGACCTGCACCGCCCCGTCATGCGGCCCCGTCACAGCGAGATCAGCGAGCTGGCAGGAGAGTCCTGGGGCAGACAGAGATGGGGGTTAGCCCCAAGGGGGGTGGCTGAGTGTAACACGGGGGTCTCGAGGGGGCGGAGGGAATTAGCAGAGAAGAAGTGGCAAGATCTGCTGGGTTGGGAACCGTCTCCCCGAGGAAGGGACGGGAGCCCCATCGCTGGAGCGCTGAGAGCTGGATGTGCCTGAGCCCCACAGCACGGGCTGTAGGGAATGATCCTGCCCTGGCTAGGGGCACTGGCTGACCTAGCAGGCCCTGTCAGGCTGTGACGTGCACGGTCCCTCGTCCTGACCTTCTGTCTGATGCTCCTTCCTAACAGCCGGGGGGGATCCTGGAGGAGAAGGCGCACAGCTCCCTGCTCTGCCAGGAAGGTAGGATCCCAGCACCTGTGCGGGGCTCAGTGGGTGTCACTAACGCGGGGAGACGCCCGAGCCGTCACTTGGCTGCAGCACATCAGTGATGGCTGGGCCGCTGGATGGCTCAGCTAGGGGCACGGGAGCTGCGAGGCCAGACCAGACCAGGGGGCATCCAGACCAAAGTCCGGCCTGGGACAGGGTCCAGGCCCAGCTGCCCGGGGAAGATGCACTCCCTAGTGGGCAGTTATGGAGCCGTCTGCCACAGGCCGAAGGCTCGAGTACGTCTGGCTCCTGCTCCCGAGTGTCACTGGACCCCTGTTGCGCCAGCTCCTCTCCCCTTCAGCCTGGCCCCTGTGTGTACGATGCTCCCTGCAGAGCTCGTCACACCGGCTCTCTGGGGCCAGGAGAGGGACCGAGTCCCACAGGCAGGACCCCACACTGTGAACCCCCAGCCCTTACCCTCAAGGGCATGTATGTGCCACAGTGGGGGGAGCTTGGGATTGAGAGAGGGGCTGTGACTGGGCGAGAGACCCGAACGGTGAGGAATGGAGGGATCTGATTGGCTGGAGGCAGGGGCAGGTTCCCAACAGACCTTTAACAGTGTGTCTTCGCCTTCATGTTACGCAGCATCCGAAGAAATCTCCTTGCAGCTGCCTGCGAACGTCCTGGCAGGGTCCGAGCGGGCCCACGTGACTGTCCTGGGTAAGGAATTCCCGTGCCCCCTCCCTGTCAGGGCACGGTGCCCTTCGCCAGCCAGCCCGTCTGTGGCCCAGCGCTCTGATCAGAGAGGCTGGGGTATCATGGATGGAAAAAAACAATGAGGTCTAGTGGGTGCCTAGGGCCGGGGCAGGACTGGTCCCTGCAGTCTGTGCTCCAGGGCCTCGTCCCCAGCAAGGGGCAATAGACTCCCACGGTGATGCCATGAAGCTGTGCCAGGGCATTGGCGTCTTAGCCATTCAGCACCACATAACCCCACATAACCCCACTAGACCGGAATCGAACTGGCCCCCGTGAGCCAGGGCTCCACAGACATGGTGTTAGGGACGGGGTAACTGTTGTGCAGCCTGGTAATTCTCTGCTCCCCCGACTCGCTTGGTGCCAGGAGACATAATGGGCACGGCTCTGCAGAACATAGACCGCCTGCTGGCCATGCCCTACGGCTGCGGAGAGCAGAACATGGTCCGATTTGCTCCCAACATCTACATCCAGCAGTACCTGGAGAAGAGCGGGCAGCTGAGCCCGGAGATCAGACACAAGGCCCAGGGATTCCTCCAGAGCGGTGAGTGTCCTCCCACCTCTCCACCTCCAGGGCATGGAGGGATCAGGGCCCCACGGGGTGCAGGCTGGGGGTGGATTCTAGCCCCCGGGGGTGAGAGGATACAGGACTCGCTGTCTCTCTCCTGTTCCCGCAGGCTACCAGCGCGAGCTGCTCTATAAACACAACGACGGCTCTTACAGCGCCTTTGGGGAGAGCGATGCCGTGGGCAACACCTGGTGAGGGGCCGCACGGCACGGGCAAGTCAGGGCTCTGGGTGGGCAGGGCCTATCGGGCTGCAGCATGACCTCCAGCCCCAGTGCTGTTCCAGTCCTGCTCCCCACACAGCTCTGCCCCACATACTCACTCAAACCACCCCCCATTCCCGTCCTGGGCTCCCCTGACAGCTCTGCTCACCCCCACAATGCTGACCCCCCAGCCCCATCCCCCACACACCTCCCTCCTGGCCTGCAGCATTACCAGCAGAGTGTCCCTCTAAGGGGGTCTCTCCCCGCCCAGGCTGACGGCCTTCGTTCTCAAGTCCTTTGGCCAGGCCAGACCCTACATCTCCATCGACGAGAAGCACCTAGAGGACGCCCTAGGGTGGCTGCAGCATCACCAGCTGGAGAGCGGCTGCTTCCGTAGTGTGGGGAAGCTGTTCAACAATGCCCTGCAGGTGGGAGGCTGGGGGGATGGGCTGATGGGATGGGGGAGGAGGAGACAAGCTGGGGAAGGGGTGGGGGAGGCTATTTAATGAGCAGGAACTCACCCAACGAGGGACAAATCCCTCAGCCTCTGCAGGAAGGGCTCCTGGTCTTCACAGGAAATCTGGCAAATCTCAGTTCAAAGCAATTTACCAGCCTCTGGTTCCTGGGGGGCTCAGATAGGATTTTATACCAGGAGTCCAGTGCAGCCACTACTGCCTCTCCTGAACTAGCCTGGGGAACTCACTGCCACAGATTGGGGGCAGCTGCTCGGGACCCAGAGGGCCTGACAGGTTGCAGCAGGAGGGAGGACCCAAACCCAGCCACTCGGAGCGCTGGAGCCGGTTCTGTTCTGGCCCAATGGGCTTGTGCTGGGCAGCGGCTCACCTGTTCCTGGCAAGGTGGCTCACAACTCGGTCTGAGCCGGCTCCTGGTGTCTCCATCCCCCTCAGGGCGGCGTGGTGGACGAGCTCTCTCTCTCGGCTTACATCACGGCAGGGCTGCTGGAGCTGGGGCAGCCGCTCACGGTGAGGCCAAGCCCTGCTGTCCCAGGGGAGGGGCCAACAGTCAGGGGGAATGGAGATTGTTGGTGACAGTGAGGGGGGAGTCAGTGCCAGGGAAGGGTTTGAGGTGAGACACGGGAGCCGTGGGTGGTTGGTACCAGGGAAGGGTTTGGGGTGAGACGGGGGAGTCGTGGGGGGTTGGTACCAGGGAAGGGTTTGGGGTGAGACGGGGGAGTCCTGGGGGGTTGGTACCAGGGAAGGGTTTGGGGTGAGATGGGGGAGTCGTGGGGGGTTGGTACCAGGGAAGGGTTTGGGGTGAGACGGGGGAGTCCTGGGGGGTTGGTACCAGGGAGGGATTTGGGGTGCTGTTGGGAGCCGTGGGGAGAGGGGTTGGTACTGGGAAGCGGGTGAGGGAGAGATTGGGATGGGGACAGTGGAGTCAGGGCATCAGAAAGATGCAGCAGCTCGGTCAGTTTCTGGGTCCAGCTCCAGCTCTGGCTCTGGGCGTGGCTTGGGCGGGCTGTTAATAGATGGGCCCATGGCAAAGGTGGCGGTGGGGAGGGATGGGTCAGGGGAGATGACAGATGCCTGCCTGGTGGAGCATTGTTAAGGCCCCATGGGGTGGTTGCCGGGGGACGTGCGCAGGCCCCAGGCGCAGGGTGTCTCCTCTGGCCGGCTCAGCCTGACGGGGAGTCTGTTCGGTGTCTCCCCCGTCCCAGGACCCCATGATGACCAGGGCCCTCCAGTGCCTCCAGGAGTCGAGCACCAGTGACCTCTACACACAGGCGCTGCTGGCCTACGCCTTCGGGCTGGCGGGGAGCACAGAGCTGCGGGGCGCCCTTCTGCAGAGCCTGGCCCAGCACAGCATCAGCGCGGGTACCGGCAGCCCCTCGCTCTAGTGCTCTCCTCGCTGCCGGCCTCTCGACATGGCAGGGCCAGCTGCCCCCCACGGCTCTGCCCACCCAGGTGTCATCCCTGCCCTGGGGCCTTCTCAGCCTGGCAGGGGAGCTGGGTCTCTGTGGCCCAGTCAGTCCGTGGTCTCTGCTGAGGCTGCCAGTGAGGGGCCGACGCGCTGGGCTCTGTCATGGGGACACTTGTCCCCTCAGACCTGGAGTGAGATCGGCCCGCCATTTCCCAGAGCCCAGCACATGGAGTGAAGGGGGACAAGTCTGGGTCGCTTCCAGGCTGGGGGTATCGGAGCTGAGAACCTACAGGGGCAAAGCCCCATGTCCCACCCAGCCCTCTAAAGCACCCGGGGCCAGGAGCGTGATGGGATCCAGTGGGCTCAGAGCCCGTGGGGCAGGGCTTTGCGTAGGCAGCTCCCAAGGGGAACGGGCCGTAACCGAGCCCTGGGGAGATGCCGCAGGATCCCAGCACCCATCCTGTGTTGGGGACATCCCAGCTGGGGAGTCCCTGCCCGAGTCTCTGCTTGGCCCAGCTAATACTGGAAGGGGAACAGGCTGCACGGGCTAACGGCCGGCTAGGCCCTGCTGTCCCTGGGAGAGGGGGTTGTACAGGGAAGATGGTCTCTGGGTGCTCCTTTGTCTGCAGCCTGTGCCCACCATGGACCTATGGGAGGCTGCTCATTCCCCAGCTCCAGTTCCCCTAGCCTTTCTCTGCACAAATGCCCTTGGGTTTGTGCCGCTCTCAGCCCAGCCCCCAGTGTGAGCTATGCAGCCTGGGGTCAGCTCCCCATAGGGCGGGAGGTCCCATGGGAGGCCTGAGGCCCACTGGGAGCGTGGCTGGGGACACAGGCGGTGGGGCTACCCCGCGTCGGTGCTGAGCTGAAGGAGGCCTCTGTATGGTGCCTGGGATTCCCAGGCTGGGTCCCTCACACTCGTCATGAAGAGGCCCCGTGATCTCTGTACGTCTCCTCGGCTCCATTTGAGCTCAGACTGAGCTGAGCTGGGAGCTGAGGCCTGGCGCGCTCGGTTCCTGATGGGCCCTGGGGAGACATCCCCCCACAGAGAGGACCAGCCTGCATGGTCCAGGCCGCTCTGTCGTGTCTCGGCTCAGATGAAAAGTCCCTTCTCTCCAAGCCCCGGCACGGTGGCTGGAGCTGGTCTGTGCCCGCGAGTTGCGTGTCACCTCCTGCCCTGCCCCGCCCCGCCCCGCCCCGAGGCGGGTAAGAAGTGCTGGGAGCAGCACCTGGCTCCTGCCCCAGAGAAAGGAGAGGTGGGGGCTCTGCTCCTGGGGGAGGGGCTGCCAGGCACTGGGGTAAAACAGCCCTCGGGTAACAGGACCCATCTGCGAGGTCCCTAGGATCCCTTGGAGGGGGTGATAACACGGCGTCAGCTCCAACCCCTGTCCTTCAGCTGGGTTGTGCTCCCCTCCTGCTCCCAGCCCCAGGGGGCTGCACATTCACTCAGGGGCTCTCTGCCCCCCTCGAGCAGTGGCGGCACTAGGCATAAATCAGTTCTGGGAGCGGGGCTGGGGCGGGGAGGAGGCCTCTGGGTATGCCTCTGTTTGCACCATGCGCCCCCTCAGGGCTTCTCACCGGCTCCATTTGAGCTCAGACTGAGCTCTGCTCCTAGGAGTGCACTGAGGGCCCATTGGACACTGGACTGAAACAGTCCTCGGGTGAGGGTCCCAACTTCAAGGCCCCAGGGATCACTCAGGAGGGGGGTGTTAACTCGGCATCAGCTCTGCCCCATGCCCTTTGGCTGGGTCAGGCTCTGAGCAGGGGGCCAAATTAACACAGGGGATCTCTGCCCCCCTCTAGTGGCTGCACCCCAGAGGCTTAGGGGTTGCCTGGAGCCAGTGACCCACCTGGGCTCAGCTTTTAGCTCAGACACCAGAGGTTCAGGGGTTTCAAGCCAGCGGGCCAGGGTTCAATCCCTGCTGACGACCCACGCAGGGGCATCGTGTTACACTTGTGTAGCCCTCCTGTGAGCTCTGAATCAGCTGCCATGTCCTGCCCCAGAGGTGACTGATTCAGTGCGGGGCAGGCGTCCCTCTGGCCTGGGAAGCCCCTGGAGCCCCTTTGGAAAGCAAACAGGTGACCCACTGTATTGTAACTGCAGCTGTGGGGCTGCCCTTCCCTCGGCCCTTCTCCTAGGGGGACAGCTCCACTGGCAGAGGAAGGTGAAGGCCCTGCCCAGCCCCTACGGGAACAAGGCCCCGTCAGCGGAGGTGGAGATGACGGCTTACGTGCTCCTGGCCTATCTCTCCCTGCCCAATGTGTCTGCTGCCGACATGGCGACCGCTGCCCAAATCGTCCGCTGGCTCAGCAAGCAGCAGAACCCCTACGGGGGCTTTGCTTCCACACAGGTAATACCCCTGCCCTCAGGGCAAATGAGCGCGGGGGCCCTGGTGCAGGAAGGGGCCAGGAGCTGCATCTCCACAGCTGAGCCAGGCCCTTCCTGGGAGAGGGAGTCCTGGGTGCCGAGCTCCCTGCCCTCAGGGGCCGGGAGCCGGGGTCCCGGTGTCAGCGCCCCGGCAGGTCCCGATGCTGCCGCAGTGAGTCTGAGCCGGGCTCCTCTCCCCAGAGCGTGACAGCAGCTCGGTGACTCTCTTTCCCCAGGACACGGTGGTGGCCCTGCAGGCCCTGGCCAAATACGCAGCCCTGACGTACAGCACGAGCGGGGCTGTGTCGGTGACAGTGAGCTCCCAGGCTGGGGCCCGGCAGCAATTCCACGTGGAGAACGCCAACCGGCTGGTGCTGCAGCGAGCGGCCCTGCAGGAGATCCCCGGGCAGTACACGGTGCGGGCCAGCGGCGAGGGCTGTGTCTTTGTGCAGGTGAGTGCAGGGGCCCCTGGGGACCAGCCGGCCCAGCGGTGACTGGCTGTGCCCTGGCACTGCCCCACGGCACCTGGCTCTGGGCCCAGGCTCTGATCTGCTGTGGCGGACGCAGCAGGCTCTTCCTCAGCCCTCCTGCTTTTCTCCCAGCTGACTCTGCGCTACAACGTGCCGCCCCCAAAGAGCGCCGTGACCTTTGACCTGCGGGTGGAGACGGAGCCGAAGGAGTGCACCGAGAGCGCCAGATCCCACTTCGGCCTCGTCCTGCACGCCCGGTATGAGCCCCAGCCCCCCACCCATCTGGGTCTGAGCTCCTGGGGGCAGGGACAGGCCCCAGGCAGTAGGGAAATGGCCGGGGCAGAGCCGCCCCACTGCAGGGCCGGGGCATGGCTGGAATCGCTGTGGGAGCCATCCACCCCCAGGGCTCGGGGCAGAGGCAGGGGGCCCCTTGGAATATGCCAGGGGCTAAAGGGCTGGTCCCAGGGCTGATCTAATGGACAGTCGGCTCCCAAGGAGCTCCTGGGGCCCGGGGCCCCTTGTCTGGGGAGCTCAGGGCTGGCCGGGGGCTAGCGGGGCTCACGGCCCAGAGCAGGCAGAGGGCATTAGAGACACTGGCAGGGCTGAGAAGACGGGAGGCCTCCGCTCCCTGTCCATCCCCCTGGGGTCTGTATCCAGGGCAAACCCCGACCTCAGCACAGGGCTCCTGTTGCAGGTACAGCGGGGAGCGCTCAGCCACCAACATGGCCATCATCGAGGCCAAGCTGCCGTCCGGCTACACCCCCGTCAAGAGCTCCCTGCGGCAGGTGAGCTTCCCAGGGAGGAGAACAGGCCGGGCCAGTCACAGCGTGAAACCAGGGGCTGATCCATGGGGGAGAGCCCAGACCCCCAGGAGAACACAGATTGCAGCTCTGACCCCCGGGGGAGCTCCCCCTGCAGAGCCCTCCCCCCTGCAGCAGGTCACTGTGCAGCCCTGGGTCTCCCATCCAGTCACTGAGCAGGTCCTGACCCTGCTTAGCTCCCCCAGAAGAGGACGCCCATGTCTAGACTCTCGCCCCTCCCCCAGCAGACACCCAGTGCGCAGCTGTGACTGACGTGGAGGGTGGCAGCCAGGCCCCTCGGCAACGGGGGCATTTGGTGCCCCATGTCCCAGCCCCCATCAGAGCAGACACTCCTGCCCCAGCCCCTCCGTTCCTGGCTCAGCCGTTTCCTCCCTCTGCTCCTAGCTGGAGAAGCAGCGTTCGGTGAAGAGGCTGGAGGTGCAGAACGACCAGGTGACGCTCTATCTGGACCAGGTGAGAGTAGGCGGCTCAGGGCTCCGGGAGGGCCTGGTGTGAATGGGGAGGGCGTGTCCTGCCCTGGCTCCACCCCCATTACAGTTGCTCTCGTGGGCTCTGTGTCACACGCACGGCGTGGGGTCACTGAAATCTCCCCTGGTTCAAGTGACCCGTTTCCATAAAGGACGGGGAGACGGGACCAGACTCAGCCAACCCCACGGAGGGCCGTGAACTGAGCGACGGGGAGCTCAGGGTTGTGGAGGCTGGAGCTGGGCCCTGAGTGTGATGAAAGGGGTCACATTTTGCAGGGGGGTGAACAGGGATTCAGGGGGAGCCTTTTCTCACTGCTCCAGGCCGCAGGGGCAGAGGGAAGTGGGTTGGGCCAGTCCGAGCCTCGGAGAGGAGGGGGTTAGAGCTGCCAGTGCAGACGTTCAGCCCAGGGGCTTGCTCTGTCGCTCTCTCGGTAGCTGACGAAGGAGGCGGCGAGTTTCACCTTCTCCCTGGAGCAGGATTTCCCTGTGAAGAATCTCAGAGCAGCCCCAGTGAGACTGTACGATTACTATGAGACGGGTGAGTCCCGCCCTGGTAGAGCTGCTCCCGCGGGCCCCATGCCGCAGTCTGTGGCTGCAGAGCGGGTGTCCTGTCCTGGCTCCGCCCCAATTACAGCCACTCCTGCGGGCTCTGTGTCACAACCAGTGCCTGGTTAGAGGGTGGTGCCATTGGAATCCCCCCTGCTCCCTGTGACCCGTGTCCATAGCTGATCTCCCCCTGCTCGGGCCTGAGCGCAGCACTTGGGCAGATGCTGGCAGATGACCAGCCGTGGGGCCTGCGGGGGTCAAGCTGGAGACACCTGCTGGAGGCATGTTCCTGGGTTCGATCTGTGGCGTCGGCTCACCGGGAGGGACATGGGAGCCATGTGCTCTTCGGGCTCTTGGGGCGCATGAGGCTGGTGTAACTGGAGCTCTCCCAGCAGGAATGGCCGGAGCAGGTGTGTCACTCCTCTCCAGGGCCCCACACATTTACCCTGCAATGCAGCTCCTCAGAATCCCCCAGAATCCTTTGTGCTGGGCCAGGAGGTGGCAGGATGATTTCCATGAGTGCCTGGAGTTCACAGCCCCACTCAGACAGCGGGGGGCGACCTCCCACTCCCTTCTTGGGGTCAGACCTGCAGGAGGTCTGATGAGGTTCAACAAGGATAAGTGCAGGGTCCTGCACTTAGGATGGAAGAATCCAATGCACCGCTACAGACTAGGGACCGAATGGCTAGGCAGCAGTTCTGCGGAAAAGGACCTAGGGGTGACAGTGGACGAGAAGCTGGATATGAGTCAGCAGTGTGCCCTTGTTGCCAAGAAGGCCAATGGCATTTTGGGATGTATAAGTAGGGGCATAGCGAGCAGATCGAGGGACGTGATCGTTCCCCTCTATTCGACATTGGTGAGGCCTCATCTGGACTACTGTGTCCAGTTTTGGGCCCCACACTACAAGAAGGATGTGGATAAATTGGAGAGAGTCTAGCGAAGGGCAACAAAAATGATTAGGGGTCTAGAACACATGAGTTATGAGGAGAGGCTGAGGGAGCTGGGATTGTTTAGCCTGCAGAAGAGAAGAATGAGGGGGGATTTGATAGCTGCTTTCAACTACCTGAAAGGGGGTTCCAAAGAGGATGGCTCTAGACTGTTCTCAATGGTAGCAGATGACAGAACGAGGAGTAATGGTCTCAACTTGCAGTGGGGGAGGTTTAGATTGGATATTAGGAAAAACTTTTTCACTAAGAAGGTGGTGAAACACTGGAATGCGTTACCTAGGGAGGTGGTAGAATCTCCTTCCTTAGAGGTTTTTAAGGTCAGGCTTGAAAAGCCCTGGCTGGGATGATTTAACTGGGAATTGGTCCTGCTTCGAGCAGGGGGTTGGACTAGATGACCTTCAGGGGTCCCTTCCAACCCTGATATTCTATGATTCTATGAGGGATCCCCTGGCGCTGGGGTAACAGACTCTGCCTGTGTGGGATTAGGGGGAGCGGTTCACATCCCCCCACTGGGTCTCTCCTCCATTCCTTACATCCCTTGCTGTTCCAGGTGAACACACAGAGGCTGAGTACAGCGCCCCCTGCGGCTCAGGTAGGTGTGATGTACCCAACACAACTCCAGTCCCTACAGCTTTATGGGTGGGGGGAGTCAATAGGCGGGAGAGGTCTGTGTGTGTTGTAGATGGCAAAGGATGGGGAGATGGGAGCATGGAACCCACCAGGACCATGTGTGTGGGGGGGAGAGACATCTGGGGAGAAGGGTCTATGTGGGGCACAAGGGAATCTGTCTTGAGGGCGGGGGGTGACTGTGGGGAGGGTCTTTGTTGGTGTTGGGAGAGTTCTGGGAGGCCATGTCTACAGGTGTTTGCAGGTATGTGTGGGTGATTTTGATCCTGTCTGAGGGGATGTTTGTGTTTGTTTAAAGCTCCTGATGCAAACACGATGGGAAATTCCCGCTGACGCCCTCACCCCTGCTGGGCAGCCCCCTCCCCTCCCGAGAGTGCTCTGTCGGCAGCCAGACACCCCAGGATCGGGGCGGGGGGGGCGTGGACAGGCTTTGTCTCAGCTGCTGCTTCCCGGACCATCTGCCCTATCCCCTGGCCCTGGGCTGGAAGGAGGCTGCAGCCCCGCGGTTGAGACATGGATTCGTAGCGCTTTCTTCGGCCAATGCCTCCCCGTTCTCTCTGGAAACCTCCCACCTGCTCCCGTGACAATTCACCACAAAAATGAGAGGGACGGCGGAAGATTAGTGCAAAGCAAACGGACACCTTGGGCAGGGACCTACCCAGCTAGGACCAGCTGCTGGCCTGCTCCCTCACTAACTGCACTGCTTGGAATGGACAGAGCACCCAAGGCCCCTGCCTGACTCACTGTTTAGAGCCTGGTCACTTTCACTGTGTCAGCACCTGGTGACCGCCCCCTCCTTTGCCCCCTCTATGGTGGCTTTAGCAATCCTTTTCATTTCACCCATGCAGCGAGTTAGTAGTTCTCAGCCTCAGCTGCCTGGTCCCAAAGAGCAATCCTTGCAGTCCCATCCCCAATTGTATGTCACGCTACGGAAGCGGTCACTCAGTTTGCCGGAGAGGGGCTTTCGGAAGCTGTGGTTTATGCCAATTCACCTTTGCTGAGAGGATCCAGATGCAGGGAGGATCCAGGAGAGAGTAAGGCCAGAATTTCCAGGCCAATCCAGCTCCATTTAGATACCAACAGGTGGCCAGATTTCTCAGCCGTCAGCATGCCAGGTGCAGGTTGGGGGCTGAGCTCTTTAGCAAAGCTGCCCTCCAGCCAGGGGAGGAAGGCAACGGAGTGGAGTCCAGGAGTTTGGAGGCAAAGGACATGTAAGGTGCTGGCTTGTCCCCAGCCCATGGAGGAGCCGCTGCCACACCCAGTGTCTTTTATCAGGCCATTTTATTTCCCAAACATAAACAAAACCAACAAAACAAATCCTCAGCCCATGTTCAGGGATTTCCCCCTTTGCCTCTCAGTCCCTCTTGCTTCAGGGCCTTTCGCAGATTCTTCTGTGCTCCTCTGACAGAGCATCACCTACCAGGGCATTTTGCCTGGTGCCCCTTTTCGCCCAGCACGTTCCCACTGCCTCCTACTCCATGAGCATCCCGTCCTTACTGCCAGCCTTGCTGTCCATAGCCCAGGTGCTGCCCCACTCTTTTAATTGGCCACACTGGGAGCCCCTGTTCTAGCAAGGGGAGCTGGACCTGCTTCATTTCAAGAGGCCAGCTGCCCTGGAACAGGGGAGTAGATGGGGCGGTAGCCACAGGGGGACAGAGGGAAGGTGTCTGAGTTTAGAGGAAGCAGTTGCCTAGTTGATGGAAAGGAGCCAGAAGAGAGTGATTTTGAAGTTGAGAGTGAGAGAAGGTGCAAAGGCATGGGTGGTGTGTGCACCCCCCCAAACCCCCGTTTGGGGAGCCTAGCCCCCTGCCCCACCTCTTTGCCTCTTCTGCCCCCCAACCTTGCTGTTGCAAGCCGTCACACCCCCACCTCTACCCCGGCACACTTCTGGGCTGCCTACAAACCCCCAGCCATATTTCGGACACATGATTTCCTCACCCATGGACTACATGTAACTTAAATGGACTCCCCCCACCCCATACATTTAATTGTTTATAGGTGTATGATTACACTGTAGTCACAGGAAGGCAATATAAGGTTCTTATTTTTAACATCCCAGCACATTTTGGCAAGAGTGTGCGAGTTCCTAATAAAAGTTAAAGCTGAAACGTTTGTTTGATTGTTTGCTTCCCCATGTTGAATTCCAGGTGGAGCGGGAGGGGTGGGGTGGGGCACCAAGGTGCTGGCGTGCAAACCGCCATTGGCAGATACACGCTGCTGGCCTACCCTTGTCGTTACTTTCGCATTGGCACATAAACCCGAAATCCCTCCCACTCCTGTATTAGCAGCTACAAACATGGAGCCAGACACTTACCCGGCTCCGGGGCGAGTTCTGCCTCTCCCGTTTCTGCCGCTGGTTCCCCAGCAGGCTGCTCCTGGGCGTTCCTCTGAGTGCAGCCCCCAGTTGTGCTGCAGTGGCAACAAAGCCTCCTCAGAGACCGGTATCCTCTCCAGAGTCACGTCAGTGGCTTGATCTAGCTGCTGCTGCCTCCGATGCCGATTCTGGGGTCAGCAGGTCTCCAGTTGTCCCACTGACAGCTCCATGCTCGGTGCGGTACCCAGCACTGAGAGACTGAGGCCAAAAGGGACCATGCTGATCATCTAGTCCAGCGGTTCTCCAACTGTGGGTTGGGACCCCAAAATAGGTCGTGACTCCATTTTAATGGAGCTGCCAGGGCTGGCATTAGACTTGCTGAAGCCCAAGCCCCACTGCCTGGGGCTGAAGATGGTGGGGCTAAGGTTGGTGGGGCTAAGGTTATAGGCCCCCCACTTGGGGCTAAAGCCCTTGGGTTTCTGCTTTGGCCCCCCCACCCTGGGTGGTGGGGCTCAGGCAGGCTCAGGCTTCAGGCCTCCCTCCTAGGGTCGTGTAGTAATTTTTCTTGTCAGAAGGGGGTCGTAATGCAATGAAGTTTGAGACCCCCTGTTCTAGTCTGACCTCCTACACATGGCAGGCCACAGAATCTCACCCACCCACCTTTGGCTGAGTTACTGAATTCCTCAAATCTTGATTTAAGTTACAGAGAATCCGCCATTTACTCTGCTTCAAACCACTAAGTGTCCCACACTGCAAAGGAAGGTGAAATCTCCCCAGGGTCTCTGCCAGTCTGACCTGGGGGAAAATTCCTTCCCAACCCCAAATATAACCATCAGTTAGACTCTGAGCATGTGGGCGAGACCCACTAGCCAGACAGGGGGAAAGAATTTACTGTAGTTATGCTGAGCCCTCCCCATCTAGTGCCCCATCTCTGGTTGTTGGAGATACTTGTTAACAGCAGTCACAGATGGGCCATAGGCCATTGCAGGCAACCTCCATAAACTTATCAAGCTCAGTCTTGAAACAAGTTAGGTTTCCCCCCCCCCCCCCGCATTACTTCCCTTGGAAGGCTGCTCCAGAACTTCACTCCTCTGACGGTTAGAAACCTTCATCTAACGTCAAGCCTAAACTTCTTGCATCCATTTGTTCTTGTGCCAACATTGCCCTTTAACTTAACTCCTCTCCCTCCCCGGTGGTTAACCCTCTCATGAATTTGTAGAGACCAATCAGATCTCCCCTGAGCCTTCGTTTGGTTAGGCGAAACAAGCCAAGCTCAAGTCTTGTCTCATAAGGTAGGCTCTCCATTCCTCTCCTCATGAGCAAAGTCCGAGTTGAGCTTACCTCAACTGCAGGTTTTTCCTCATAGTTGTATTTAGCTTTTGTCATGGAGTGTGGGGGAATCGGGGCCCTGCACCCCTCTTCCTGGGATTCACCGTGACTCTCAGCCAGCCAGTAAAATGGAAGGTTATTGGACGACGGGAACACAGTCCCAAACAGAGCTTGTAGGTACAACCAGGACCCCTCAGTCAAGTCCTTCTGGGGGCAGAGAGCTTAGACCTCAGCCCTGGGGTTCCCTGCGTTTCACCACTCAGCTCCAAACTGAAACCAAAAACCCCTCCAGCAGGCTTTCTCTCCCTCCCCCCAGCTCCTCCTCTAGCCTTTGTCCAGTTTCCCAGGCAAAGGTGTCAGCTCTCCCAACCCGCCTCCTGGCTAATGTTACAGCCTCAGGTATCTTCCTTCAGGGGAAGTCTCCCATCCACAATGCAGACAGTCCCAGTGAACCTCCCCGGCAACACTCCCAGGTCAAATCCACCACACTCCCTGCTGCGTCACACCTTAGTTAGTTGTAGTAGTTTAGTTTTTTTTTAAATTGTAGTAAGGACCGTTGTCCTTTCAGTTTTTCCCTGTGGGGAAATTTAGATGGCTGGAAAGTTATGCCCAGCTCTCCCGGTTTTAAAGATTGCCTTTTGTGCTGGGAGGTTATCCTGGTGAGCGACAGGCACCCCCAGTATGTTCGTTGCCTCAGGGAGTCACACAGCCACAAAAGGTGTAATTTTTGCCTGGCCTTAAAAATCGAGAGCCAGAAAGAACCGGGAGATTGAACTGTGTGACCTAATGATGGAGAGCTCCCTCCGTCTGGCTTCTGAGCCAGGCCAGGGGACTGTCTGCCCCCCATGTACACCAGTCTCTGAGCAAGTCAGCCACTTCAACCACTATAGCACAACACTCTCCCAGAGCTTCTAAGAGGAAAACTCAGGGATCCTCTCACAAAGACTTTAGGAAACGGAGCTCAGGTTCCCCAGATAGGGAACGAGTGAGACAACTACTTCAGCGCCTCGCCAGTTCCTGACTTGGTTCCCACAAGGCTGCAGCTTCCTCAGGTGCTGTGAACCCCAAGATTCTAAGGGTTCCAGCTCAGTAAGATCTTTGGTTTCCTCCATCAGGGGATCAAGGCGACAAAGGAGAATCATAGAATATCAGGGTTGGAAAGGACCTCAGGAGGTCATCTAGTCCAACCCCCTGCTCAAAAGCAGGACCAATCCCCAATTAAATCATCCCAGCCAGGGCTTTGTCAAGCCTGACCTTAAAAACTTCTAAGGAAGGAGATTCCACCACCTCCCTAGGCAACGCATTCCAGTGTTTCACCACCCTCCTAGTGAAAAAGTTTTTCCTAATATCCAACCTAAACCTCCCCCACTGCAACTTGAGACCATTACTCCTTGTCCTGTCCTCTTCTACCACTGAGAATAGTCTAGAACCATCCTCTCTGGAACCACCTCTCAGGTAGTTGAAAGCAACTATCAAATCCCCCCTCATTCTTCTCTTCTGCAGACTAAACAATCCCAGTTCCCTCAGCCTCTCCTCATAACTCATGTGTTCCAGACCCCGAATCATTTTTGTTGCCCTTCGCTAGACTCTCTCCAATTTATCCACATCCTTCTTGAAGTGTGGGGCCCAAAACTGGACACAGTACTCCAGATGAGGCCTCACCAATGTCGAATAGAGGGGGACGATCACG